TTCTTAAAAAATTGTGAAGGTAAACACAAGCCAAAACAATGTTAACTATTGTTTCTTCAACTTTTATTTCTATGGGTTTGCGGAATATTCTAAACACGGCTGAAAGCAGCCCAAAAGTATTTTCTATAATACGACGCGCTCTGGACAACCTGTAGTTGAATACTCTTTTTGGGGATCCTTTGTTCAAATCTGTGGCGTATGGTTTCATAATATTTTCAGATAAGGCGAACGCATCATCGGCAACTAAGACATAAGGAAGTTTCATCATACGACCAGGCAGTGCTTCACATTCCGGTAAACCAAGTTCATTTTTTTCGAGTTTCTTAGAGAACGAAGTATTTTTAAATACTCCTCCATCTGAGATACGGCCTTGGCATCCAACGTTGACATACGTAAAACAGTAGTTAGCATCCGCTATTCCCAATAGAACAATACTGTCTGTTCCTTTATAGTTATGAAACTCGCTTATTGTGTTTTCTGGTTTCTGGATTACGACGTGTTTGCCGTCGATGGCGCCGACACAGTGAGGAAAATTCCATCGTTTATTGTATTCTTCTGCGATAGATCTCCATTCATGATCACTTGAGGGTAGCTGTTAGTAAATAAATAAAACTTTTTTAAGAACAATAATGTATAATGCTTGTCTATAAATCTGAACACTAATTGAAAGTACTATTTCGCCCTTTTATCTGGGTACCCGTAATTAGTGGAATTATATATTTTATTTTAGATTCTGAACGAAGTGAAAAATGTTCTGAATTACTAATGATATGTGTTTTTTTTTGTGTCTGTGTACACCATCAGTAGTTGAAATAATGCTTCAATTTTAAAAATGTATGCGTTAAATAAGATTATATTTATATTAATATATTTATACATTTTTTTTATAAAATAAAATTATCCCAATATGTATCCTAAAATTCCTAACCTATCAATGCATCTCGTGTATCCCACCCAACTCCTGTATCAGCTCATTTTTATAAATTTAATATCATCACAGGACGTACAAGATGAACTACCATGTGGAAATGGGAATATCTCCAACCAATCGCATCCTGTCATAGAAGAACACGAGTTTATTCAGCCAATAAGGACAAAAAGAAATTTGAAAAGAAATAATCGGGATGAGAGAGAAGATGAGGCGTACAAACTTATGAAAAGAGCGGCTGATGAAATTGAGAGAAGAGATGAATGGAGTACGTTTGGAACTTTTGTAGCAGATAATATCAGAAAACTCAAACCTTTAAATCAAATATTAGCCAAACGTGAGGTAACCAATATGCTCTTTGATTTACAAATGAAAGAAATAGAGACGAGTGGAAGACAAAGTTCATTGCCGCCTGAATCTCCGGCAACCGCAGTTGACACTTGTGAAAGTGACAGTCACTCTTTTACATATGATGATTCAACTGGCCTCATGGTGAACACTGCTAATCACCCGACCACACATGAACTCAACGAGTATTTGTCATTCAGAACACGCAATAATGAGTAATTTCACATACATATTTTTACTTATTCTAAATTTTTTTTATATATATTAAAACGTAAAATTTATTCTTCATTTTTTTTTACATATTAAAACGTAAAGTGTATTCTTAATTTTGTTATATATAATATTAAAACCACAAATTAATTTATATATTAAAACGCCATTATGTAGTCAATTATAAAATGTTATACCTTTCTTACCTTTATAACTATGTTTAATTTTATAAATACATTCACTTACCTTGATATAATTCTGTAGAGCATTCACTATAGCTTTCAGAACAGTTGGCAACATTTCTGAAATAAACTGCTTGGAAACTTTGAATAAATACATAAGGGATGAAAACGAATCTCCGGTAGCTAAAAATCTGATGGTTATTAAAAACTTAATTTTAGCTGGTACTGCCTCTCTAAAACGAGTGTTTTGTTTTTCTATTTCCGGCTCGATTTTTTTTAACAGATAGTAGAAATTCGTTCTGGACATTCGCGTAAAGTTTCTAAACACAATGTCTTCATCTAATTGCAAATCATCAATGATACCAAAATTTCGTGTTTTTAAATAATTTTTCATCCATATGGAACGCTTTTTTTTATCACGCCTCTTCTTCGCACTCGCAATAATTAGATACGCCGCACTAATCCCAACAAGCAACGATGAATCCGACATGTTTTCTATTAAAACGCTGGAAATTGACTGCGTGATGACGACGTAGTGTGGACAGAGGAAGGGCATGCGTAGATTCGTTCAACAGAGGCATGCAATAAGCGCAAAATGAATTGAATGTTGAAACGCGAGTTGAATAGAAAGTTGAAGACGAAAGCGCACTAGTGTGGACATACCTTAAGGTGACATACGGTTGTACTGTTAACCCAAAAGTAGATGCTTTATTTTCTTTATTCAAATAAACTTCTTGGAGTTCTATAGCATTCTGTAAAATATAAATTTACATTTTATGATCATATTAAATTATCATTGTATTATTTATTTTATACCATACCTTTATTATGCAAATAAAACCTTCGGAAATTTCTCTGTTAGATGGTCTCCAGCTATCAAATGTTTTCGCTCTTTTGTTGCTATTCACAATTCTGGTGTTTGGAACACATATTGTGACACAAGGAAAAATTCTTGGTAGGTATGTTAAAATTGCAACTGTAATCTCTAAAATAAATAATTCAATTATAGATCTCAATAAAAATGTAAAAATGTTGGTTCTTCTTACCTTGTCTATTTTCGGTAGGAATAATGTTTAAAAATCTTTGATAACTTGCTTCTTTGTTAAGCTGCGGTTTAAAGTGTTTAATGTATTTTGGCAAACATTCAATTAAAATGGGAAATAAGTCAAACAATTTTAATTGCTTTTCTGGTTGCAATATATTAAAATCAATTTCAATCTGAAATTAAAATATTTTTAAGATTAATTTTGTAATTATTAACTCTCTTATTATATTTCAATTTGGTTTGGTAGGTACAAATAAACAATTATAATTATTATTATTATTGACAAAGATATAATTTTATTTAACTTTGGTTTATTTAGCTATAATGTTGTACATACCAACTTATACCCTAGAGGACCTTTTATAGCAGGATATTCAAGAAAATAGTTCAATTGTTTATTACTTTTTAACATTTGATCATATCTTAAACTAAACGTTTCTGTCCATTTATTAACTACAATATCCATGGGTTCTCTATTGTTTTTCAACCATAAGATACTATCGTTTAAATCTATGAAAAGAAAATATTTAAAATTCTCTATAATATATCACATTTTTACTGTGAGTGTAGACAGTTATTAGTTTTATTTTAACAAACCTTGGTTGAATGCAGTTACTGGGGTATTTGAGGAACATTCACCTGTGGTTGTAGATGGGCTGACATTTAATTTTCTGATATCCTTTGTCAAATTGCAATACCGGTCAAATAATTTCCCTCTTGTTGGTCTAACATATTCTTTATGTTTTAAGTAAGGAATAAAATATGTACTTTCTGATTCATTGGGGAAAATCTGTACAATACTTTGGGATAACTGAAGTAAGTAATTCATAGAAAGTTTTTGATCTGGACTATGTGTAACTTCATAATCAATTATTAATCGAACCAGTTTGTTTCTTACAGCATATGAAAAATTGTTAGATGATTGATAAAACTTTAAAACATTTTTTCCTTCTTGAGATTGTTCCAAAATAAATTTAATGCGATTGTTACAAGATGGAATATCCTATAATTTCATCAAATGAATCAAATTGAAACCTTATTTGTTAACAGTTGATTAAGATACGAAATATAATAAAATAGTTAACCTGTATTAAAAATTCATCACTGCTCAATACTAAGCTATTATCAATTACTGTTCCATCCATTTCCTTTTCATTCATTATTTCAAAATTTGTTATATCATGCATCATATCTATGGTATTTATTGGACTAATCAAATTAACAAACTCTTCGTCCTTTGTATAAAATTAAATATTAGCAAGTACAAGTATTAAATATTAATAACGGCCAAATTTTATGTTACTTTGTTTGGAGCAATATTTGTGTCATTGAGGTGTACTGTACATTTTTCTTCTTTTAGTTCAACTATTTTTGAATATAATATAGCTCTTAATTTTAATTTGGGTACTAATTCTTTAAGCATACTTTCAGTAAGGGCTAGAAAGGTTATTTTGTCTATCTCTTCTTCTATAAAAAATACATTTAATTTGGATAGTAATAATTTAATTAATATTATTAATTTAACTTGAGAGAGACCATACATTTCCTTTTAAATTAAATAGAGAAAGCTTAAGGCTTGCCTACGAAATATTACCTATAAACTTATTGATAACATGTTCGGGCATCTCACATTGCTTCAAAATATCAATAGT